CATATGGGTATCAAAAGAACTGAAATTTCACGTAGAATCCAAAAATGCAATAAAAAATAGGGGTTGCCATTTAAAATAACGAAGTTACTATCTACTTCCGGTGTTTCCGGAAGTGCGGCCATTTTGAAAATATTTTACATCGATTCGGCCTTCAGAGTAACACCTAAGTACAAATTTTCTAAATCCTACCTATTTTACTTTCCCAGAAACTTTTAACTAAAGCTCCCAAAAAAACACCCTGTATATATATGACTTACCACAGTGCGAAATCACAAAAGGTTACCCATATTAAAAATCTACCATGCATAAATAACATATATAAAACCCCTTAAGTGTTATGACAATTACCAGCAGCTATCACTGGTCCCCACCCTAATAAAGGAAACAAATAATTTCCAACAAGAAAAATATGTGACACACAAATAAATGTACTTGATTATGCCAGTGACGCTATTCAATAGGTATGTTAATTAAGTGAACTCAAAATCGTTACATTTAACCGGCTATGCCAGGTTCCAATATTAATTACACAACCAACAATCTCCCAGTATCTTACTTGAGATACGAAGGACTTCAACTAATTACTAACAAGTCGGGTTAAGCCAACAGCTAAATAGAATCTATCAGATTCTCTGCTAGTAATAATTTACGTGAAATTCCAAACCTCGCATCAAAAGTAACGTTTTCCAGAGGTGTCACCAGCATGTACACGAAACAACCAACAATCCACTTAGCTGTGCGGGTCCTCGCCTATCGGTAAACTCGAAGGGATCGCAATGGGACGGTAACGGTGAACAGCAAAATCGGCAACGATGTCTCGGAGCTGTCTCCGACCAGAACGATCAAGTTCTCGGACAGGTGTCGCGCTCGAACTTGGTACACGACGATTCCACCCAGTTAACGGCTTCCCTCAATTACAGCCATGCATAAAATTCCTCCGACGTTACGACAAATAACCCTCCATGCGGTACAGACAATCACAGTTAAACAGGTCTCCCCGGAACTCGAACTCGAACAGTTTTACATATCCTTCGCAGCTCACATCCAATACCAAATCTCCAGTCTGATTACACGAGACCCACGACTGTTCCCACGCCGATAAGTGACAAAACAAATACTAGATTCACGTGGTAATGTAGATCCGTCACCAAATCCGCTGCAAATATACCCCGTATGAAATAACGAAATGACCACAAAAGAGTAAGGAATGACTCTTACCTTCGACCTGAAGCGGATGATCAAAATAAATGCCGATAAACGCCTTGTTGCATAAAACCCGGCCAAGCCGCGTGCTAGACCAAAGCACCAATTAAGTGGATATCAATTAAATCCCGCTAAACGGCATCGAGACAACTCCCCAAATATCCAATTCCAATATCCAAACGGATGCCTCAATGAACACAATTAATTCCAACTTTTAAATGCGCAACATTACTTTTCGGCGTGCTAACACAAAATGCCCTCAGATCGCCATTTCCTTGTCCCACCACCGGCTTTTTAATCGCAAACCCCAAGGTAACGGAATAGGGACTCCAAGCGGTAAAAAGAGAAATTACCTCACGGTGGCCAAATCTATACACGACACAATCCATACTGCCTAAAGATGTAAACAGCCGTTACAGTTTTTTGTTTCTTTTATTCGCCCAAATGAATGCCGAACTCGCGAGTACACAAATAAAATTGTTAAGTACTTTATCTCTTTTTATGTCGCCTTCACATGGAAGCTCGTCGTCGCCTGCCTGGGTTTGACTCCTAGTGCGGCTCAGACTCCTTGAATTTCGTTGATGTCGGTAACCTCCAAATAGATTGGTTCGAATGTCGATTCCTACTCGATCTTCTTCAGGTGAAAACAACACGCCGGCAGATAAACAAATCGCTGGCCCCTTCAAGGTAAAACAATCGCTGGCAAAAAGGTGAAAATGGTTTCCCAGAATGGGATTGCGAACTGCCTTCACGTGGAAAGTTTTCTTGCTCTTTATGGCGTTGAACTCACATATGATTGCGTCACTATTGCACAATACTTATTATCAGTTATTTTCGCGTGTAAAGGTAACGAATTTTATACTACGAAACGTAGAGCACTTCCACTGTCTTCCTACGTAAAAATATTCACGCTAAAGATATTCTCTAGGACAACAAAATGTTTTCTTAAGTTTTACTACAACCACCTTGACTTTCTTAAGCGGCCATCGCTCTCTTCTCTTCGTTCTCCCTCATACCAACTTACTCACTAAACTCCCCAGAACTTATGTACAGTATGTTCCCAACTTAATTAACTAACAAATATTTATACACAGTATGACAAAATGAACCAGCAGAAATGTCTGTGCTGTTACAGATTACCCCTCAAATTTTTTCTTGAATAAAATATATTTTGTGAACTAAAAAATTTTGACCCCCTGAATCATTTACTATGTACCTGTGTCATGACTGGACATATATTTTTTCAAATTTATAATATTTTGTGTAGTTCTATAATCTTTTGTCCCTGGCCAATTTAGAACGTATGCATTACTACCAATTTCTTTCGCTACCTCACATGGCCCCTCGTAAAGCAAAAAGAACTTTTTAATAGTTTTCTCAAATGTCGACGATTGATAATGGGTTTTCACAAGAACCAAGTCGCCTACTTCCAACTTAGTTATTTTGGTACGGCTTATGTTATCATGTCGCCTTTTATTTTTCTTTGCTTTCTGTTTAAATTTCTTCTGAGCTAGTAGGATCTTCCTCTCCACAGGCATATCTAGTTGGTCCGGAAAGTCCAGAATTTTTTCGATTAACTGCTGTGGTCTCTCTCCTTTCAACAACTCGTATGGTGTAAAATCCTGTTGTTTCACATACCACCACATTGAGCCAATCTTCTATGTTTTCAACGTACTTGGTCCAATTTGCATGTTGCTCATGACAGTACGCCCGCATCAACCTTCCGATCTCTCGCATTGCCCTTTCCACAGGATTGCTTTGAGGGTGATATACTGCGGAATATCTCACCTTTACACCGTTCTCCTTCAAAGTTGTAGTCCACTTGTTACTGATAAATTGCGTCCCATGATCGGAGAGTATGATCTTTGGGGTTCCCACGTTTGGAAAATAATCGTTTATCAACTTATTCAACAATGTCTTCGTGTTTGCCTTCCGGATCGGGTACAATTTTATATATTTAGTAAAAACGTCCCTCGCCACAAATAGTGAGTACACCTGCAACAAATAATTAATGCATGGCATTTGTTTGCTGCCTGCCATTTTTTTTGTTTTTGATTATCACGTTCTATTCTGGTGACAATTCAACTCGTGTATAAAAAATCGCATAAGCCGCAGTGCAATTGTCACTTTGACAGCGGCAAAAGTTGCCTGCAACTTTTCCAGCGACAAATGCACTAGTGGTTTTTTCACTTATTCATTTTCGAACCAATTATCGCATTATCCTTTCCCATATGACTAGTATCACGTCTGTCAATAATTGATTAGTTTGCTGAATTTCTTGTTCGTTAAATTGTCCTGCCGAATTACACTCGAGGTTTGTATTTAAACCGAGTAAATTTGTGTTGTTGCAATTCAAATCTGTTTCCTTTTAGCAATTGGACTCGAAAAACTGTTAACCTAAAAATGCTCCACCTGCGGTGTCGCATTTTTATTAGTTGACAGTTTTTCTCGTCTAATTGCTAGGCAACAGATTTTCATTACCTAAACAACCCAAATTTACTCGGTAAAATACAAACCTCTTGTGCAATTATAAGTGAATAAACATGTAATTAATCAATGGGTAACTATGTTTGTGAAAAATACTGAATAACCTAAAAGCTACGGGGTTTAGGCACAAGACATCCCTTATAAAAATTTAAGAGAACACAAAAGTCTATCAAATTGTGAAATAGTTTGAAATAGATTTGAAAAATTTAGTTGTTTTGGCATTTTGAAATTTGAAATTTTACCATTTTTTGTGAACACCCTGTATCGCGAAATTCAACTGTCGAAATACCAAAGATTTGTTTTTTATTCAAATTAACGTTATGGATCAAATGTATTTCTTAACTGCAAAATCAGAGTAGGACTTGGTTATGGGGATTTATTCGGAAAAAAATTAATAATATTAACAAAAAACCAAAAAGTGAATAGGTGGCCATGTAGAGGTTAAAAAATGGCACCGAAACAACTAAAAATATACTGGGTGTTCCATTTAAAAAATCCGTTATCTATTGACACCGTAAAAATGAGACACCCTGTATGTCAAAAATAATTTCTGTAAATGCGCAACCATCTATAGTTGACATATACACTAAAGGTTTTTGTGTATTTTCTGTTTTCTACCACGTATAAACTAGGAAAGACCGACGCACTGTTGCAGGGCCCTGTATATATATATTTTTTTTTTATACAGCCCTATCGGGATCTATGCCCATGCGGCCGGCAAGTGAGGATATTTACTAACGGTGTACACACAGGTTGACACACTTCACTTCATGCGGTCGTTCATGAAGACTTTACTTACAATACACAAGGGTTGACCACGGTTTAAGGAGAGCAATTGGAAGGACAGAACACAACAAAGGTTTATAAATATTAATGTAGCGACAATTATTCAAATGGTAATTTTGGTGTCTAATAGGAATCAAAATATCGTATATGTCCTTGTTATTGATAGAGAGTATGGACGTAATATTAGTAGGTAAATGGACATTGTGTTTAATTAAGTTTGTAATTAATTTTTGGGTTGCTGCTATGTGATTTTCGCAACTAAAAAAAATATGGTTTAAATCGCATATGTACTCCCCACATGTACAATTTGGCGAGTCTACCAGCTTTAGTTTGAACAGGTGAGCTGGGTATTGTCCGTGTCCAAATTTTAACCTGGCTATTGTTGAAGAGTACCACCTGCTCACTATTAGGTCTTTTGACCAATGACTTTTTATTAATTAATTGTTTCAATGTTATTCCCAAATTATTATTTGTCTGTACACTTGTCTGTCTAGTGGTGCATTCTACATTACTTCTGATTACAGTTCGACTTTGCTGTCCTCTCTGCCACACGTTATTAAGGAACAATTCAACCCATCGATTCGAATGCAGGCCTGTCATATGTGCATATTGCTTAGAAAGGTTGCACATGAAAATTGAAGGTGTTCCGAAATACAGGTGTGTCGTCTGCAGCGAGTACAGCTACCCAATACGAATTTATTAATTAAGGTAAGATATTACATACTTGCTTGCATTGCAATAGATTAAAAAATCTACATTTCAGATTACCCACGTCTTGCCCTTTTTTTATCGCATGCGTTTAGTTTTGTTTGCCTGCGTTTTGTTTTCATCGCCCGCGTCTTATTATCTGCATTGGCCATGGCTTCAAATATTCTCATTATTAAACCACAGCTTGTTTAAAAGTTTGTGGAGTTCTAATAATTCATTCAGATATTAATAAAACTTGAAAATGTATGCCTTGGTACGATTTGATGATCAAATACATCATATTTGCACAACTCACACTCTCAGAAGAAAGGGAAACTGTTTACAATCAAAATGGACTGACGGCAGATATTATCCTGCTAAGGTTGTTACATATAATAGTAAGTATTTTGAACATTGCAGTTGCAACTTCATGTACCAATAAATTTTTAGACAACCACCATTTATTGTCAAGTATAATGAGCAACATTTCTCACAACCAACACCAACCATTTGTTGGTAAGAATTTTATTTATAATATTAATTGTAATCGAATTAAACTTGTAACACAAATTTAGACCTTTGTCCATTATCTGGTTGCCAAGTTTCTTCCAATGTCCAACAACCCACAAATACAGTCGAGACAGTGGGGAATTTATATGAAGATGGCATTAACCCCCTCATCTGTCAATCTCCCAATTGGTTTTTACTCGACTATCCTGTGGAAGCTGCTGTCTCCAGTCAACATATTAGCGGCAGTGTTACCGTAGATATTGACGATGTGGCAACAAACACAGATGTTATATCACAAGAAGTTGAAGAATTCCATGTTATAACTGACTCCACTGTTTCTTTAGGTAACATACATCATTGTGTTTGATTTGTGTGTGATTTATATAATTTTCATACAGATGTAGAAAGCAAGGCAACAGACACAGATGTTTCACTACGTGAAGAGATCCCCATCTTTCACTCCCACAATAGGTTGTCGCGCGACTGTCCTACAGAAGCTACCGTCTCCAGCAAGCAAATCAGTGGCAATGTGAATGTAGATATTGACGATGTGCCAATTGACACTGATATTCTACTACAAGAGGACTCCACCCATTGTCAATCCCCTAATTTATTGATGCTGGACTATCCGGTGGAAGCTGATTTTTCCGGTCAGCAAATCGGTGGCAATGTGAACGTAGATTTTGACAATGTGGCAACAGACACCGATGTTACACTACAAGAAGTTGAAGAATTCCATGTTATAGCTGACTCCAGTTTTACTTTAGGTAAACACCTGATTTTATTGATTTGTAAGTGATTGATATAACTTTTGTGCAGATGTAGAAAACATGGCCATTGATACAGACATTTTCCTACATGAAAATGAGGAATTAACTGAAACTGTAGAGTATGACTCGAATCAAATGTGTGAAAAGGCGGAAGAAATGATCGTATGTTTTTATTGTGGAATACTTTGTGCGGAAACAAATCTTGAAGAACACGTCAGGTCTGAGCATGATGCTAGTTTCTTCACAGGTAATTGAATTGAAATATACATGTTAACATGTTTTATTTACTCTAAACAGCAGCGAATGAACCAAAAAGTGTAACCAAAGAATATCAAGGAAAGAAAAACTTTTGCCCTTACTGTAAAGTGTTACAAGCACAGTTGCCTCGTCATTTGTACCGGAAACATGCAGATGACCTTTGGTCGAACAAATCATGAAATTAAGCAAAGGTAAATCAATATAGATACCAATAGATCATAGTTTATCATCCCTTGTGCCGTTGTTGACATTGATATTGATCATTACTAAAAAGCCATAGTGTAGTTTTAGCATGAAGATGGTTAAGTTTGTCATCAAAATTGTTATTCAAACTACGAGAGAAACCATATTTTTTATTGTATTGTCTTTATAATTTTTACCTCTCTCTTTGGGGACGAGTTACGCACAAATCTTATTGAGAAAAGTTGTTCAGAATGAAAAATTGAGTAAAAGTGCAAAATTTCAAAATCCTAGATCTACTTTAAATTTTTCATGTTTTTATTTTTCAAGTAACTGTATTTTTTGAGAAAATCCGAAAAATAACATTTAATGATGAGTGTAACAAATTTGAAGCCGATAAGAACACTTGGATATTTTATTTAAAATATTTAATATATTTATTTTGAACAAAACACTGGAGTGTTCCGACCGGTTTTAAATGTACTGCACGGTCACTACATTATATTTTGAACGGTTTTTAAAATAACATTTTACGCATTTTTTTAAAAAATCTAGAAAAAAAAATAAAAACTGCAAAAAATTCACAGTAGGTTTAGAACTGTACATTTTTCATTTCATTTTTATTTTTTCTCAATAAGATTTGAGCATATCTTATCCCCAAAGCGCACTTTATTAGTATGCAAAAAACGTTTTTTGATATATAGTTTCGAAGGCGCCACTATACAGGACCACTACCAACTGTACAGGGTGGTCCAAACTGGACACTTTCTTATAAAAACCCTTTATTTCAAGAAATAGAAACAAATGAACCTAGGTGTCTGGAGTTTAATTTTAAAGAGAAAATTACTGGTGCAAGCAGAAGTTAGATATCTCTAATCGTTTGGCCGCCAAGGGGCGTTTCTGGAATTTAGTCGATTTCTTTAATGCTCCATTTCTTTCTTATTATTAAAGATGATTCACTTTCACAAAATCTTTCTTAGAGCACTTTTTTATGTACATCAATCACGATACATAGTTTTTATACAGGGCGATTGATTTTTGTATAGGATTCTAAACTACATTTTTTCATATGGACTACCCTATATATTTTGGAATTTTGGAAAAGAGTGTAAAATTTCCTAAATTTTGATATATCATTTGTTATATTTATGATAAAATATTTGCGATATTGTGAAAGTGAATAAATACAATAAGAATTATAAATTGCATAAGAAACGTAACTACATACTGTCATAATGTCGTTTTATAAAATTCTGCCTTCTTTCGTTCGCCATGAAAGCCTAGTTGTCTGCAACGGCCCGTATGAAAAAATAGTGTTCTAAGAAAGATTTTGCCAAATTATCTTTAAAAATAAAAAAGTTATGGGACATTAAAGAAATCGTTTAAATTTGAGAAGCGCCCCTTACCGGCCAAACGATCCTATTTTGTGTGTCCTATTTTGGTTGAGACGGCAGGGTATCTCATTGGTTTTAAAAAATAGAGACTTGCTGTTTTCGCGACCCTGTAACACTTTTTGGGACGTTATAATTATCATATGTTACTACAACATGTACGTATAACATAGAAACAAGGTGAAAACTGTATTTTAGTTATTTTTACGTAGAATTCAGTGGCACAGTAACCAAATTTTAGACTACAGATTCCGAAGTTTAGCCCAAAGTTAGTTTTGTTAAAAATGCAGCCCCCTTCATATCTTTTTTTTTTTGCATTTTTTTTCCTGATTACATAATGCATTGATGTATAACAATATACATTTCGTTACAAATAATTAAACACTTAAGATAATATTTTTCAAAATTTTGAAATGAAGTGTTTCTACCGGCGGCTATTTTTATTGATTGGCATCGGCTACTTTAATTGATATGAATACGATTAACAAGACAAAATATTGTTCCTCTCGTGTTCTGGGCCCTCAACAGGCTTGCTTCCAATTACAGAGTGGCCCGCATGAAGCTTTTAGAGGTGCCCCTGCAGAAAGGTCTTCAGTTGTTCTATACCCACTACTTCGGTATTTACCTTACGAATTAGGAAAACTGCAGGAAAACCTAATTCAAAGTAGCCAACAGAATGCTCGAAATTGATCTAAGGATTCTCATTCCCTGCCCTCCTTATTGCAGGTTCGAACTCTTGACCTCCCGTTAATGAAGCGGAACGCTCTTCTAATGCGCCACACAGGCAGTTATCCATGACCTGCTATTTAAAAACAGTAAAATATTGTTATCAATGTAATCAGGAAAAAGAATGCAGAATTGACGTTACAGATGTTGTTTCTAAAGAATACTAATCATCTTCGAAGCGGTTACCCAAACATATTTTTTGAGTAAGCCACTGGATGAATTTTACGTAAAAATATCTAAAATAACATGAATAATGAAGATATAATAACATCCCAAAAATATCAATTTCAATACTACATTGTGAATTAATTTACAATTTGTTCACGTACTCTAACGAGATTCATATATCGTTTCAGATGATTCAAAGCGACAGCAATTACTGAAACAAGTTTTGGATGAAGGAAATTTTCTATACAATTCAAGTAATCACATTGTCATACCTCATCACCGGTCACACCACAAAGAGAGCACAAAAGAAAATTATATTCCTTGTCCATTTTGTAAGGGGTTTTACTCAAAACGTAACTTACGAAATCACCTAAATTTAAATTGTAAATCTAAACCAAACCATCAACATCGAATACAGAATGTACAAGCAGCTTCTAGAGCTACGCTGCCTCAAATACATCCGCATGCCAGCAAGGTTATTAGAGAACAAATTTATCCAAAACTTTCAAACGATGAAATTACACGAATAGTTTGTAATGATGCTCATATAATAGAATTTGTCAATTTAATGGCTATAAAATATAGTAATAGCACTCACCACCAAGCTATGATTCGGAGCATTCTGATTGAAATGAAAAAACGAGATGACAAGATTACCAATATACTATTTTTGAACCGAACCATTTTGATACTTTTATAGAAGCCATACATAATATTGCGGGTTTGAATGATGGGAAATTTAATATTCCTAGTTTTGGACCAGCATCAATTACGCTTATGAGAAAAATGGGAGGAATCGTAGAATCATGTGCAATTAAGGAAAAGGATTTGGTAAAGCAAACCAACGCTCAAAATTTTTTAAAACTACTGAATACTATGGGGAATTCTTTGGTCTCGAGAGTTGCTGAAGAAAATAGAACACAACAACAACGGTCGACGAAAATTGTTCTTCCGAAAATGGAGGATATAAATAAGCTTTACAAACATATAAATACAGTTATTGAAAGGTGTAGCGCAGAATTAAACAATTCTTTCAACATGAAGATGTGGCTGCGATTATCAAAAGCTACTTTGGTACAGATAATGCTTTTTAACCGGAAAAGACCGGGTGATGTTGAAAAGTCTCAGTTGTCGGAGTATGAAACCTTGGAAACCATTTCTAAAGATGCCACACTTTTTGATGAGACACAAACACAAATGGCAAGGCAATTCGGACGATACATTACAAGAGGTAAACTTAACTCACCTGCACCTTTGTTAGTTTCGGAATTAAACATGAATGCCATTACTTTACTATTAAAGTATCGTAACAAAGCTAAAGTATCAAGGGACAATCCTTATCTGTTTGCCCAACCCCCAGGTACATCGAGGAAATTTTTAAGTGCCAATATTTCTCTAAAAGAGTTTTGTAAAGAAGTTGAGCTGCAGAATAAGAACATTACGGCTACTAAATTAAGAAAACATCTTGCAACAGTTACTGGTACTCTTAAAAAGGATGATATTCAAATGGTAAGCGATTTTATGGGTCATTCGATCGACATCCATAACAAGATATACAACCAGAGAGCTATTGTAAAGGAGATATGTGAAGTAGGTCCTCTGCTGTTAACGGCTGTTGGAGATATCAATGCTCCTTGCAGTTCCCAAATGGTATCGGACGTTTTGGTGGATACAGAATCGGTATCTGATGTGATGGAGATTGATACAGTAGGTGACGTGATGATTCAAGAGACTTGTTCTTCAAAACAACGAAAAAACGACAAACTATCAAGCCCTGAACTATCTGAAACATGTGAAATTGTAAATACTCCTTCTCAAAGCGACGATGGATGCGAGGACGATCCTCCATATCAACCCGATCTATCAATAATTCTGGAGTGTGATTCCAATACAGAAGATGAAGAGGGACACTCTATAGCGACGAGACGTGAGAGAGTAAGCTAATATGGCAATAAAAAATTAAGCAAAAGGAGCACTTGGACCACACCAGAAAGAAAGGAAGTACGAAAAATTTTTGCAGGCTATTTGCAGCATGGTGAAGGCGACAATCGTCTACCCAGCTTAGAAACTTGTGAAGAGTTTAAGCATAAAAACAGTATTCTAGGTGGAAGGAGTTCGCAACAGAAACGATTATTCCTTCGTGGGGAACAGAAGAGGCGGGGTAAGGCCAAAATTTATATTTTTATCCTATGTTTGTACAAATGCAGTAGAGTAGAATTACATTGTTATGGGCCGTGGTACAATAGATCAGTCTCGTGAATTCAAATGAAGGGGCGTGGTATTTTCGCAACTTTTTTTAGGAATTAATTTTAATCGAGAGCTGTTTCCAATTAATCCAACACAAAATTTGTTCGCGTGTAACGTAATGACCAATTTGCAGATTACGTTTTGTATTTAAGGCAAAGTCCGTCTTTTCGAATTCTACTGATGCTTACATCTCATTACAAAGTTACTGTAGCTATTTATTTTGAACTTACTTTTTTACTTAAAAAACTTTTTTCACCAGGAAACAAGCGATTTGGATGGACTACACCAACAAACGAGGTATGCAGAAGGCGTTTCCAAAATTTTTACAAAACGAACGTTTATCCATCTGGATCAGAGCTACATACCGCAATACAGCAAGAACCGTTCTTGAAGGACACAACTGTGTTGAAATTACGTTCTCATCTGCAACATGATTACAAATATTTATTAAGATCGAAAAGATTGCCGTTTGACGATTTAGAAACCCACTAAGGGATGTTAAGTTACTAAAATAAGCATGTTTGTAATTGTACAGATAGTAGGTAGCTCTTTATTGATATGTCATTAGTTAAATATTCATTTAGTTACTGTCTTTGGGAGAAAAAATGAAAATTAAATTTTGCGTTCTGCCTTCCTCTTGTATCTTTTATGTTATCTTGCAAGAATTTCCTAATTTTAGTTAGAAATTTATTGGACAGAATGCTGCATTAGGAAGTAAGTTACCTAAACTTGAAATTTGTTAAAATGTGGTAGTTTCAATTACTCGTAAACGAATTATCCTTTGGTAAATTGCAGTGACAAACACAAAACACAAAAGTGTTTGCATTTCTCTTACGTATAGCATCGCCCATAATGTAGATTTACGTTTTGGGTACAGAGATCATTCAAAAACTATGAAAAAAATGACACAGAAACCATTTTTGAAACGAATGCAAATGCTATATCTAATTTGAAGATTTTGTTTTGATGGTTTCATGGCTTTACTCGCGTGTTTAGGGTCAAGATTTTATTTAGAATTCTTTTCTCACCCTTTATATTCTCACTGTGTAGAGATTAGAACTGTTTCACATAGGACTTATGTTATGTTGTACAGTTTTCAGCTTTACACATTGTATTTTTAATACAAAATGTCCTTGTGGCATTTAGGAAAATGGAATGTTACTTGTACATTGTTACATTTCCTAAACGCCTAAATGGCATTTTGTCTTAAAGAAAGAAAAGGTTTTCCTGATCTAATGATATGTGAATTGGTTCATTTTCAGTTGTATTTCGTATAATTTTTATAAAAAAGTACACATTTTACTAAACAAAATGACAGTTGTCTTAAACTAATATTTTGTCCTGGCTCAACTGGTGATTCTGTAAATTGGATTTATTACTGCATTCTTGATAAAATAAAGAGAAATACAACGGAAAGTTAATTAATTCACATATCATTACATGCGGAAAAAGATCTTCTTTTGATTTGCGCCATTATTAACCGTTTACGTTAAAATGGGAAGCAAGAATCTGCAAAAAAAACCATTTTCTCATGTTAATTCCCTATGTTCGGTTTTAAAGTATTCACCCGGTACCTATATGTTTTACATATTATCGCTACACCAATAGATCTATATTATATCTCTGACTGAATCATACTTTACTAGTAGACTGCAACGTATTCAACAAATAATTACATATCTGACTCTGCTCTGGTAACAGGAGTCCCCTGCTGTTCTTAATTTTTATTAATGATTTGCCTTCTTCACTTGTAACACCTTATTGTATGCTGATGATTTAAAGATGTTTACGGTCATTTATGGTATTGATGATTTGTCTCCAAGCCCAAATACATAAACTTGGTGAATGGTGTTCAAAAAATAATCTTTACCTAAACATGTCGAAATGCAAAGTAGAAAATATGTGTGTTGTGGAAGAGACTTATACGAGTCTACGAGTATCATGTTGTTTTCCACACCGTTAGAAAATTCATGCAATGACATGTGTAGACCTCCACCAAATACTCTTTGCCTCCACGTATACGAATAGAATGCTAGCAAACTGAAATTGCGCCCACTGATAGATGCGATAGCTAACTATAATCACACAATTTTTCATTCAAAAATGTGAAATAGAAACTGAGAAAAAAAATATTCAGTTTTTCCAATTTCCAAAAAATAGTACAAATCACAGCAGCTGTGGGCACTCGGCGCCTTTGATTTTACGTTCTATCGCCACTACTTTGTTTCTACGCGTGCTTTCTACCGGGTGATACAAAATGAGTGAGGACAGTTTAAATTTCCCGCAAAAACAAAAAATTTGTAAGGTTGGTAACATATTAATGTAATCAGTAAAAAAAACAGTGGCGGAGTAATTGATACTTAAGTAGGTACACAATGTAGACAATTCAAATTTAAAAAAATTCACAATTTTTTACAAGAATGTATAGACTACTGTTTCATTGTTCACTTTAAATCACTTAAAAATTGTTCAAAATGTCCACCATTATGTTCAATGCACAGTTGCACACGTCTTTCCATATTGTCGAAAACTCGTTCTAACATTGCCGGTGTAATGTTCATTAGTTCCTCTTCGATTGCATTTTGAAGTTCCTCAATGGTGTGCAGGCGATTACGGAAAATATTGTTTTTCGGCATCGGAAACAAAAAAAATCTAACGGAGTTAGATCGGGAGAACGCGGTGGCCGCAATCCTCTGCTAATTAATCGGTCATCGTAAAACTGTTGTAGGTACTCCAGCGTCACATTTGCAGTATGCGCTGCTGCACCATCTTGCTGGAAGTATTCTTCCCTTAGTTCGTCATCATGGAGTTGTTGTAAAAACGGGTCGAGAATTTCAGTACGATACCTTTCTGCAGTAACGATATCGTAAAAAAAAATTGGTCCTACGATACGTCTTCTTGACATGCCAATCCACAAGCCAATTTTTAAAGGATGCAGGCTAGTTTCTTCAAAATGGTGGGGATTTTCAGTTGCCCATGTACGATAGTTTTGGCTATTAACATACTCTGATAAATGTACCCATGCTTTATCACTCATGAAGGTCACATTTAACACATCGTTGTTGTTAAGGTGGTTGTTAAACCACTGACAATAGTCTACTTTCATAATCACGTGCATGCAGTTGCTGTACAATCGAGACTTTATATGGAAACATATTTAGGTTCTTGTGTAAAACTCTGTGGCAGGTAGCATATGACAATCCTGTAATTGAAATAAATATGTTATCATTTATATTACTATTACGTTGTACTAACTTACTAGCTTGAATCGATAACTTGCGAATTGATTTCTTAGGACTCTGTTCCATACGTCCTCGCACATCTTCCACCACTTCTGCAGTTCGGATCGTCGGCCGGGCTGTAGATTTTCCCTTACACACGCACTTCTTGTTCTCGAAGCGTTGTATTACACGGTTTTTGTGGTTGACAAATACCTTGTAAGGAATATATTGTATACCGGGAAATTCTTCGTCGAATTGCTGGCGACAGGACTGAATCGAATACTTCCACGTTCCATCCTCTAGACGGGTTGCACTTCGATAATAAGCCTTTAAGATAAACGCGTCATGTTCAGAGGTAAAAGCCATTGCTATTTGCTAACAGATTCTAAAAAGTAAGGTTAGACATCCATAAATAAATTTACGTTATTTACTTATTTTTGCACTCTGATAACACTTGGGAGGAGCTCTGATAAGAACTGTTTTGATTTAAAATAAAAAGATGACCGTACAAGATGCAAAAATACAAAGAGAAACACGCGTAAAAATCGCCGCCGCTGGATAGTTTATTCTAGAGCAAAACAATCACGAGCGCCAATGTCCAAAGCAAAAAACTCCAAAAATTTTAGGCGCGAAATTCAAACTGTCCTCACCAATTATGGACTACCCGGTACTGCTCTTTGAAATTTTATTTCTCGGTTTCTATTTCACATTTTTTATGTGATGGTAATTAATTAGCGTATCCCCCCCCCGGTCGTCAAATCATATATATTATAAGGTGTATTAATCCAGTCTGTAGGTAATTTTGCCCTACAAAAGGTGGAGTAAAAGCCATTTTTACATATGTTGTTAAGGTATCAGGGGCTTATAAAAATCCAAATTTTCGACCTTGAGAGTCAAAGGCTCTTGCCGCCATCTTTAATAGAAAGTGCCGAAATTAGGTTTTTTCTCAATAACTTCTTAACCATAGATTTCTTGTCAAAAGTGTCTATGGGGAGAATAGAGAGGACAAAATTCCCTGCATTTTTTGTATTCATGTTTATTCTGTAATTTTTATGATAAAAAAGTGTATATATATATATATAATTTGTATGGTAACAATGTACCTGTGCCTTTATTTATGGTGCGTGTAAACGCTTCTTTACAAATTCACTACATTGTCATCAATAGATGTCGCTACGTAACCATAACAAATGATAACAAAGTGTCATTTCCACTTCCTATTCTTATCTCTAATCATGGCTGTATAAATGGAGAATCCCTTGATTTCACAAGACACTTCTTCCTGTCATTTGATGAACCGAAAACCTGCTATCCACACCTGAAACTTATAACCGTTCATCCGATTTCCCGTTTTCATTTGATACCGTTTTCCGTTCATCCTATATCATTAACCCACCTGTCCCTGCATCATTAACATTGCCGTCCATTATAAATCATCCAGCCCTTGAAATTCGAGGAAACTTAATGATCCGTATCGACCCGTCACGGAGCACGTTCAATTTTCGTCTAGGATTTGTTGAAAAAAAAGGGGGGAGAATGCGGCAGAAGTATGTGTGCTTTTGTTGAGACCAGAAGTAAATCTTTACGTTGCGAATAGTGAATGCAGCTTCGACAATTACAAAGGTGATGTACTTGTTTTATTTATCTCTACGTCTATTGCATTCCTCTAATAATGATATGATCGTGTTCGATTA